ACTCCACATGGCGGAGGCCTCGCCCATCACTGACAGGCCAGCGTGGGACCGAGAGTGAGGCGGCGTGAGGGGAACGATTGGAGGAGCCAGCGACACCCGAGTGGCTTGTTCAGATGGGCGCTCTGAGGCCTGGCAGTCAGGTCCATTCTTCCGCAGACCTGGTGGTCAGTGGCTGGGCTGGAAATCTGATGGGAACATGATTTCTTGGGTCACAGCTGCTGGGGGGAACCTGGGTGGGGTGCAGAGGCAAGCATGGAAAAGAGGTGTCAGAAGGGGAGAGGAATTGTGGGGCCGGGCCAGGCTTGCAGCAATTTTCAGGGGATGTTTTTGGGGGGAGAGGGGCTGTTGAGGGTTGTTATTTTACCCAGGTTGGTTTGTCTGCTGCCCGGGCATTCAGGGAGAAGCTCTAATTGGCATATCACACCCAGACCTCCTGCAGCAAGGGGCCAGGGAGCTGTGGCTGGTGGACTTGGCACCTGCCCAGCCAGCCTTGGCTGGGATGATTTAGTTGGGGTTGGTCCTGCTTTGAGCAGGGGGGTTGGACTGGATACCTCCTGAGGTCCCTCCCACCCTGAGATTCTCTGATTCTATGACGGTCCCGCTGTAAAAACAGCCTGGCGGCTGGGCATCAGCTTCCCAGCGCGCAGTTCTCCAGCAATGCCGCCTAAGCGGGCCCCTGCCCAGTGCCCCGTGTTCAGAGCACATGGCTTCTGGGAGCACTGAAGGCCCACGGAAAGATGGGATGAGGTGGGAGTCGCTCCCTTTAGGGATCACCGTCAGCTTCCAGAACCCCGGAGTCCTGAGACGAGAGCTGGGAGGAAAATCATCACCGGGAGAGTTTTCCAGGGAGAAACACAATTTTGGTCCAGCAAAATGTTTGGATTTAGACACGTCGATTTCAGTTAAAATTTGACAGGAAAATTTCAACTCGATTCCAAATGGAGCTCGGATGTGGCTTCCCAGCTCCCGCGGCTCACGGGTTTGGCTCAAAGAAGTAAAAAATACGTAACCAACCTTTCCTTGTGTTCTATCTGAGTCGATTATCTTCACCGTCATGTGTGGCTAGCATTGTGCTGTAGGATGGATCCCGTTTCACCATCGCCACAATGAAACGTTTCGACCAAGTCGTTGCGATGCATCTGAATCAAAATGTTCCCGACTCAGGGCGAAAACAAATATCCAATTCCCAGCGTTTCCCACAGGCTGGAAATGCCGTTTTCTGACCAACCTAAGACACCTTTAAAACTGCCCAGGGCGGCCTTACTCCCGCCCGCCGGACACCGCCCCCAGGCCTCACCCCAGAGCCACCTTCCTCCTGCCCACCCACTGGACCCCCCCAGGCCTCACCTCAGAGCCGCCTTCCTCCCGCCCGCCCGCTCGGACCCCCCCAAGCCTCACCCCAGAGCCACCTTCCTCCCGCCCACCCGACCCCCCCCCCCGGCCTCACCCCAGAGCCGCCTTCCTCCCGCCCGCCTGCCAGACCCCCCCAGGCCTCACCCCAGAGCCGCCTTCCTCCCGCTTGCCGGACCCCCCAGGCCTCACCCCAGAGCCGCCTTCCTCCTGACCGCCAGACTCACCCAAGAGCCGTCCACTCTCCACAGGGCCCATCCTCAGCCTTCTCCTGCCTCAGTGCCCCCTCTCCTGAGAGCCTGCCCTCCGCAGCCCCCCCACTCTCCACAGCCCCTGCCTCAGAGCCCCCCACCCCCTCCCATAGCCCCCTACCCTTCACTTCCCCACCTCCTCCCATAGTCCCCACCTTCCATAGCGCCCCCACCTTCCACAGCACCCCCACCTCGGTCCTCCCCTTCACCTCCTCCCATAACCCCTACCCTTCATTTCCCCACCCCCTCCACAGCCCCCCACTCTCCACAGCCCCTGCCTCAGAGCACCCCCCATTAGCCCCCTACCCTCAGCATCCCCCCACCTCAGAGTCCCCCACCCTTCACCTCCCCTCCCCCTCCCATAGCCCCCTACCCTCAGCATCCCCCCACTTCAGAGTACCCCACCCTTCTCCTCTCCATCCTCTCCCATAGCCCCCTACTCTCCACAGCATCCTCCCCACCTCAGAGTACCCCACCCTTCACCTCCCCTCCCCCTCCTATAGCCCCCTACCCTCAGCATCCCCCCACCTCAGAGTCCCCCACTCTTCACCTCCCCATCCTCTCCTATAGCCCCCTACCCTCCACAGCATGCTCCCCCACTTTAAAGCTAGCCCCCCCCCACAGGCCCCCACTTTAGAGCCCCCCACCCTCCACATCCCCGTATCTTCCACAACACCCCCCACCTCAGAGCCCAGCCCCCTCCCCCCCCGCCACAGCCCCCCACCCTCGGCAGCCCCCCCCCAGCCTACCCCTCCCCCTCCCTCGCCAGGCGGCCTGCAGTGGTCGTTAGCTCTGTGTAAACAAGACCTCCACCTTCAAACAGAGGGGCCATGGGCCGAGGGGCCTGTTAGCCAGGGGGCCTCCCCGAACCGCTGCTAATGGAAACTCCAGCAGGGCTGGCTCCCTCGCCGGCCCACGGGGAGGCGGGTGTAACGGGCGCCCACTCCTCGCCCCCCAGCCATGCCCGGACATACCCCCTCCACACACACCGCCCCCCTGCCACCCCTCCCCATCAGGCTCCAGGCCGTCCTACCCTGCCCCCCTGGGTACCCACCCCACACGCACCCCGGGGACCAGAGAGCAACGTCCTCCAGCGTCTAACAGGGACCCCGCCCGCATTTCTGGCCACCCTAGAGAGCTCCCCAGCAGCGTCCGTCCCTGCCGTGGGCAGCCCCTCTCTCTGCCCCCCCGCCCCCCACCAGACCCACACAAAGAGCTGAGCTGTGAATCCGGAGCAGGAGGAGGAGGACCGAGGCCGAAGCAGAGACGGGCAGCGGCCTGGTGACCTGATCTCCGCGGGGGGCCTGCAGCTCTCTGGGGGCTGCTGTGCTTATAAATCTCCTGCCCTCACCTTGGCATCCCAGGGGGTGAAGAGGAGCAAGGAAGAGAAACCGCAAATTAATTTCCCAGACGCCAATTAGGAGCCCTGGGCCTGGAGCAGAGCTGAGCCGCGGAGAAGGCGAAACAGCTGGGCAGACGAGCTCCCACTGGAGTCCTTGGGCTGCTCCCAGCCCCGGGGAAAGGGCCCGCCCTGGCCACCCAGCGCAGCTCGGACCACACGACAGCTCGCCCACGCCCCGGATAACAAGATGGCAGCTGAGGATGGGGGTAGAGGGGAAAATAGGGAGGGATCGAGAGAAGGGGAGACCCCTCCAGCCCCCCTCAGCCCAGTGCTGTGCTGGTGGCCTCTCACCCAGCTGCCCATGGTGGGGGAGCATGCAAGATTCGCCTCCCTCCCACGAGATCTCGACTGTACTGACCTGGGCCCCCCAAGCGTTGCCCGTGTAATTACGCAGCTCCTAGCCCTTATGAATTCATCCGTCCGCGACACCAGCTTTCATGCCCCCCGCCGCGGGAAGTCGGGCAGGTTGACCTCCACTTGCAGCGTGCCATCCTCTTCATGCTATGCGTGCCGCCCATCGGTTCAGCCCATCCCTCGAGCAGCCTCACAATGCCAGCGAGAGGCAGCTGTCCTGCCCCCGGGGACCTCAGAGCCCCCAGCCTTGAGCACGGGAGCCCCCGGGCTGCAGGTAAGTACCAGGCTGAGCTAGGAACGCAGACGCGTGGGTAACCGGCCGCAGGTCTGTCACCGCAACATCTTTGTTTGCGGATTGAGAAACCGAGGCATGGCGCAGCTACAGTGATGGGCTCGAGAGAGGGGCTTGGACCGGTAACGTGACAGTGAGTCGGCACTGGGGCCTAGAACAGAACCTGCAGTAGCCGAGGCTCAGACCCACAGAACCCTCCTTCCTCAGTTTCCTCCCCAGCCCCAAGCACCCACCCCCCTGCTGGGACCAGCCGGCCCCAGGGAGCTGCTCCAAGCCCTGCTGCCACCACAGCTTTCCCTTCCCTGCTGCCTCACCTCTCGTGGGATGGGCCCTGCTGACAGGATCAGCCACTGCACCCCTGGCGCCGACGCGAGATCCGTGAGTACGGCCACCCGAATCCCCCATTCCAATCACCCCTACACACACTGCCCCCTGCCCATGCCAGCGGATGGGTAACGCGCCAGAGGCACAGATGCTGAGGCCGCAGGCAGGGCCGGCTCCAGGGTTTTTGCCGCCCCAAGCAAAAAAAAAGAAATTAAAAAAAAAAGCCAGCGTGGCCCCACTGAAGGCAATGCTGGGCTTGTCCTCTCCCAGCCCAGGAACCAGGCCCCCCCACCATCTTCAGACTGGCTTCATCGGCAGAGCTTTGGGGGTTCGGCTCAGTTACGTCTCCTGGAGCACTTGCCTTTCAAGCTCACCTCCACAACGCTGGGCTGACCCTGTAAGGGGACCTGGGCTCCATCCCACCAGTGCCCATCATCTGCCTCCCAGGGGCTGGGGCCCAGCTTGGGGGCTCAGGGCAGAGGGGCCCGAGGAAGAAGTTCTCCCTACCAGCTGGAGGGAAAACTCTGGCTGGAGCTGCTACAGCAAAGGACACAAGCAAAATCTTCCAGAGGGACGCAGGGGCCCGGGAAGGGCACAATGGTCTGGCAAGCCTGGCGTCGAAGGCTGGGAGATTCTGGCTTTGAGTTAAACTGTTATTTCAGGCTAATGAACCAGACCCCAGAAGCACCTGCAGTGGTGGTTGGTTGGGCACCAAAGGTGAAGCAGGATCCAACACAGGGCAGAAGTTCGATCCCGCTACAGCTAGAAACTTAAATAAAAGCCAAGATTCCCACCTGGCCACGTGAATCCTGGAGCTGGGGCTTTAAAAAAGCACCGAATATCACCAGACCTGCAGTAACACTGCAGGAGTCGGCAACCCCGCGGACCCAGCCTGCCAGGAATAACCCTGTGAAGCGTGTTCTGCATGCCAGGGATAAAAGCGAGGGGAGGCTGGCCGAGTCCCGCGCTGGGGGTGAGCGAGCAGGGTTCTCAGCCAGCCACACCAGCTCCTTACCCACAGACTCACCTCTGGCTGGAAGGCAGAAGAAACCCCGGCTGCACCCAAACACAGCGGATGGGTTTAATTAACAGGAGGAAATCCTTTATAAAGGTGCAGCAGAAGCAATATCCCGTGATGCAGGTAACCAGCCCTGCACCACAGAGAGGTGGAACTGGCCCGAATCCGGGGCTGTTCCACGAACAGGAACGGAAGAAAACGGCTCAGTTCTAATCAGCCGCTCACGTGGGCTGGATAAAACAGCGCAGCCCTTGGACCTGGGCACGTCCAGCTTGCCACATTTCTCCAGGGCTCCCAGTCCTTGTTGACGGGGTGAATTCCTGAGAGCCGTGCTTCTGGGCCCCATGGCTAACTGCACTCCTTCCGTCTCTCCGCCCTATTTTCCTTCCTGTCCGTCAGCCTCTTTATCTGTCTCCCCCGCACGGGACACCAGGCTCTGCTTTGCTAATCACCACTGGTGGTGACAGAGCTGCAAACTTCTGTCTTTAGACACCGATAACCTCCCTTCTGCAGTTCCATGCGCTCCAGCTCGGGGAGCGGTTCCCTGGCCAAGCGACCTCCCGAGAGAAGGTGGCTGGGCCGGGAGCTCTCCCTGATCAATTGGAGGGACCAGAGAAGACAGGAGCGTAGAGCCAGAATCCTGGGGTTGGGCCTTTCAGGTCAGGGCTGTGGCATGCCGATGGGGGTGGGAGGACATGAACGCAGATGCCCCCTGCTGTACCTGTGCCAAGGCTAAAACAGAGGATGATTTTCAGTCTCCAGCGTTGACAAGGCGACAGTTTTCGCTGGCATTAAATTCAGCTGAAATGGAAAGAATGGAGAGCGGCCAGGCTGGAGCCAGTCTGGTCCAAGCTTCCTGGACCAGGACACTCTCCATTCCAGCGAAGCCCAGAACTCAGACCAGGCACCGATAGCCTCGCGGTCTCAGACTTGTCTTTCAAGTGTGAACCTGATAACGACGACCCGACAAAGGTCAAACCTTTGGTCAAGGACACAGGGGCAAATGCCATCACTTCATGGATAGGGCATGGGATCATTACCGGGTTTCACTACCCCAGCGACGGGCACTGTGGAAAACGCTAAAGGAGATGGACGCGTTGATCAAAGAGGACTTTGGGGCTTAGGGCTCGTGCAGGAGCTGGAATGAACCACCCAGGACCCTGTTAGGAGTCACTTCTCGAGGGATTTTCCCTCCTGTGACTCAGCCCCCCACGCTGTCCCCTCTGAATCACATGGGGTCTATTATCAAACCCCTCTCCCCCCCGAGAGGGACACGTGGAACGCTTTGCCTGTGTTATGTGCATGAGGGCCACGCTTACCGTGGGACCTTTAACATCACCCGTCCCAGATGCCACACTGGTTTTAACCCTAGCTGCAGTTATGTGGGGTTTTCAGGGGACTGGGGAGGAGGGACAGGTCACCTATAAGCAAGCCCCTGTCCACCTTGCAGAATATTAAACCTATATTACAGGGCTAGCCCCTGCTCCGGCAGTGCACAGGAGCTGCCCAGGGCAGCCACTTTCTCCAGCAATCATCCACGACCCGCATGCTCCCTGCTCCCCACAAGCCAGCTGCGTCCTCCCCTCCTGTGGGCCTGTGGGCAGCCGAGGGGCTGGGGTAGCAGAGGCACTGCAAGAGGGCATGGGACCAGCAGCCGGTGGGGCGGACGCCCCATTGGCCTTTAAGAAAGTGTAGCAGGGTAGACTGACTGCAGGAGCGCCCCCGCGTGGCTACCCACGGCGTAGCAGCTAAGTTCCCCAGTGCCCCCTGGCACCAGTCACTCCGGCCAGGGCAGGATGTAGCCCCATGCTCCTTTCAGGGATCTGCAGCCCCACGTCCACATAAAACAATACCCAGCATTCCAGTCTCTCCAGCCACTGTGCCCCGGGGTTACCCAGACTTACGGCTCGTCCCCAGGATGTTGGGCGCTCAACGAAATCTCAGCTCCAGGATTTCTTGTCCCAGTTCAGCTCCCTGCACCTTACCGAACCCTCGCAGGCTTGCTAGGGTGAGAACCCGAGTCACTGGCTGTCTGGCTACTGCTCCCAATGGAACCTGCTTCCAGGGCAACTGCCGGGAAAATCACCATCTCTCGTAGCCTTCACTCTTTGACCGTCCATGCGGAGGGTTTTCCCTGCCTCGAGCTGCCTGCCTGTTCCCTGGCACCCTCAGCTTCCCGGGCTTCCTTCCCAGGTCCTCCGCCCTCCTTCCTCCCGGCTGCTCGCTGGGGCTCCCTGGGAACCTGTCCCTTCCTGCAGCTCCTCTCCGCCATCCGCCAAACTTCACCCTTCGGCTCTCCCCTTCCTGCCTCCACGGCCTCCGGCTTCCTCCTCTCTCATTCTGGTTCCAAGCTTCAGGGCCCTCTGGTGCCTCTGGGCCACCAGCCCCAGAGAGGAACCTCCCAGTTACCTCCCTGGCCTTCCTTCCCACTGCCCTGGGCTCCTTCCTTCCTTTACAAAGGCCCAGCTCCTCCTCCACTGGGTGCGAGGCCCAGTTATGCATGATCCAGGGGCCAGCTGGGGCCCAATGGGGCTCAGGTTTCTGTTAGCCCCTGATTAAGCCGCGTGGGGATTATAGCCCCCATCACAGCATGCAGAGGAGGCGGAAGGAAAAGTGCAGGCTACAGACGTTACTTGGGCTCACTGCAGGAAAGGTGGGGGGTCTCCGGCCTGCGTTAGGTGGGAGGTCAGACTAGATGGCCATTATGTCTGGCTATGAGAAATGCAGCTGTAACCACCCCACCCCTCAGATCTGACCCTGTAACCACCAACGCTAAAGCAGCAACCTCTGCCACGTCAGCTAATGGAGTAGCTCCCTTGGCTAGCAGCTGTAGTAGACTCTTTTCCTCTCCCGTGGACCGGCCACTAGCAGGACAGAGACTAGCGGGGGCTAGGCAGCTGCTACAACCAAGTCAAGGGTCATCCAGCTGGAGTCTTGCCGTCACCGGAGAGCACCAGGTGCTGGCTTTCCCCTGACCGATGGGGAGGAGCAGGTTTTGACCTTAAGGACTCAGGGCTGTCAGTCAGGTGTTTCCTTTGGCAGGTATATTCCGGGGTCCAGGCACCTGTCGGGACTGCCCTCTGCTGGTTGCTCTGGGCTCTGCGAGAGGAGCTGAAGGGAATAACCATTGCTATAGGCCAGACGTCTCCAGAGAGCGCTGCTGGGCGCTCAGCTCTTTGGAGCGTTGGGCCTCGAGGGTCAGCGCTGAGCGGGCCCACATCCCCTCGGCCTGCTGCACATGCCCAGTGCCACCTCCCCTTGCTGCTTCCCGTAGCCGGGAAGTCAAGCCACCTGCCCCTCTGCGATTTGCTTCCAAAGCGGCCAATTGAGACTCCCAGGCTGTTCACCACCCAACGGGGGCCACAGCTGTTCCTCCGGTCGGCAGCCCCGGCGTTCACTCGGAACCGTTCATGCAAGCACAGGAGCAGGCCCGTGCCTACCCCCGGGCAGCTGATGCGGCTGTGTGTGTCTGGGCTGCGCACACCCGCTCAGCTGTGTGCGTGTGCGGCTGTGTGGCATGTGCGTGGTACGTGCAGTGTACGTGCATGATGCCGCTCTGTGTGCGAATGCACCCGTGTTTGTCTGTGGGGGTCTACGTACCAGTACGGGCGTCTGAGCAGGGCCAAGGGGGCCTGGTCCGGTTCCGTCTCCGCTGGGAATCCCTGAAACCCATTCTCAATCTCTCGCCATTTCACCTGTTTTCCCGGAGCTTCCTAAACAGAATGGGGTGGGGGAGAGTCTCTCCTGGGGACTCAACCTAGAAACCAGAATAAGCCATTTTAATCCCCCTCATGGAGATACCGCACACAGCCCGGCCTCGTGGGGGTGCGTTTAACTGCGCTTTTAGCCAGGGCAGCTCGTCACCTTGGGCGGCCGTGGCTGACAGGGCGGCGTGCCCAGGGCTCCGGGTGACACCCTCCTCGGAGCCTCTTCAGGCACGAAGGGCCAAAACTCTCCACTCACCTGAGCTCTCCGGCCCATTCTGAGCACCAAACGCCAGGCCGGAGAAGGCAACACCGCGGCCCCTGGTTCTGCTCGGCCACCGGGCCGTCTCCGCGCGGCCCCCCACTGGCTGACGTCTCTCTCCGCCCAACACCAGACTGACGGTGACAACGCCCCAAACCTGTGGGGAACAAAGTGCCACCCGCTGAGGTCCAGCGGTATCTGTATTCCGGTAGCGCCTAACGGGCCTGGCTAAAATCCGAGCCCCATTGCGTGAGGTGCTGTACAAATACAGAAGCAGCTCCTGCCCCAAACCGCTTGCCATGTAAACAGGCAAAGGAAATACCATCACCATTCTACTGCTGGGGAAACTGAGTCAGGCAGGGGATGGCCATATGGCAGTGGCAGGAATAGAATTCAGATCAAGCGCTTTAACCACCCGGCCAAGCTACCACGCCGCCCGGCCAACCCGCTGCAGAAATGGCCCCTATCGGCAGAGCGCTGGAGCATCCCAGGGATGTGAACGGGGCGGGCGCTGGACAGGAATTGTGCCCCCCATCAGAGCAAAACCCCCGAGGAAAGAGAGCGGCCTACAATGGAGGAGCTCTCTGCCCATGCGCTGGAAGGCCCCATCCTCTGGCTACAGCGGCCGAAAGGTCGCAACGGGGTCAGGGGGAACATCACCGATCCCCCGAGAGCTCGTTCAGCCCAGCCCGCCAGGCTAACGGCTTTCCCGGGGCAGCTGCGCTCCCTCCAGATTCTGCAGGTAGATGCGGCGTCTCCCCTGAATCCCACACCCGCCGGGGCCTGGTTCAACCCATCGGCAGGAGGCTGGCCCAAAGCTTAGCTCTAGAGAACGGGATGTCTGCAGGGGATGGGTGCCAGGGTCAGCGTGCACCCTGAGCAATGTGGTGGGTGATGCCCCAGTGACCAAAGCCCACCTGGGTGCGAGGAGCACCAGCAACGGGCGATTCAGGAGAATCACTCCAGATATTTATGTTGTGCCCATCCCTGTGGTGTCTGATGCATCACCTCCCCGCCTGGTGCCGAGAAGCCGGGATATGGAGACGTTGCCAGCGCGAGTGATCTTCCTGGAGATTCTTCCGCAGCCCAGTGGGAGCCGGGGGGAGGAGAAGACGGATGCCCTGAGCAGCCCTTGGATGGGCTGGTGGGAGAGAGGGGAAGGTTTCAGCTGTACAGATCGGAGAGGCAAAGGGAGCGGCAGTAGAACCACTCTAGACAGCACCGAGCAGTAGCAAACTCAGACCTCCTAGGTGGAGCACCCACAGGGAGAGAAGCCAGCCTGCTGTGTCCTAGTGTGGGCTGGACAGATGGACGGACGGGGACACAGACACACAGCCATCCTGGAGCTACCCGCTGATGCCAAGCAAGCAGTGACTGCAGGAGAACACATGGGCCGGCTGACTGTACCATAGCAAGGAACGGGACCACCAAAGCCAGCCAGACATGCAGTGCCACCCGAGCCTTTAATCCAGTGGTTAAACTGAAAACTTTGGCAAAATACCACAATACAGGAGCTCCTCCGCCCATCACAGGCTCCAGTTCCCAAAGGTTCCCCCACCGCTCAGCCCTCCTGGGTCTTTGCCCTGTCCAGGGATCCCTGCGGGAGCCTTTCTGCACCATGCACATCTCTGGCTCTCCTGAGCTCTCGCTGGCCTTTATAAGGCCTGTGTCCTTGTCCCGGAGCCTCAGCTGGGAGGCTGCTGATCAGTCACGGGGGAAGCTGGGCTCATCTCCCCTTGCAGGGGCCCGTCCCCCTGTGCGCTGATTTCACCCCGCTTTGAGGACGTCGGGAATCGGGTGAGTCGGAGGGGAAGCCTGTAAACCCAGCGGTGTGGCAGGAGGCAGCTGGCGATCCTGAAGGCGCCGGGAATCCTGCGAGAAGGACGAACGTGAGGGACGAGCCAGAGACAAGGTGCTCACAGGCTATGTCAATCGGGCCCCGGCTGGGGCCGGTTTGATCGCCAGGCCGAGTCCAAGGTCTGGTGGCTGAAGTGAGCGTGACAGGAAGGCTCAGCGGAACGCCAGCCCTTGTACAGGACCAGAGAGGCCGATTCAGCTGCTCCCGCCAGCCCTGCACCCGAACCAGGCTGCCTCGGCTTTATCCAGACTACCGA